GGTCTTCCCACCCTGGCGTTCCCTATTCTCCTTCCCTACTTAGTTTTTGTTTCATATTATAATACGGTTAGCGCTATTCAACATTTAACACCAAACAAACATAGTTTTGTTTATCTATTTGTTTTTTATTTGTCTCCCCCTAAAATGTAAGTTCCATGAGCTGTTTTGTTCCCTGCCGTATCTAGAGTGCCTAGAATAGGGCCTGGAACACAGTAAGCGGTCTATAAGTATTTACCAAATGAATGAACGAGTTCTTTTGAAGCTTGAAAAGACAATGAATGTGAAGGTACTATACAAATTTGCAATATTTTACTATTCATATCAAAGTGAAATTTATAGGCTGGCCCCGTGGCTGAGTAGTTAAGTTTGCATGCTCTGCTACACGGCCCAAGGTTTCGCCAGTTCAGATCCTGGGTGCGAACCTAGCACCACTCATCAGGCCATGCTGAGGCGGCGTCCCACATGCCACAACTAGAAGGATCCGCAACTGAAAATATAGAACTATGGACTGGGGGCTTTGGGGAGAAGAAGGAAAAATAAAATCTTAAAAGAAAAATGAAATTTACTTCAACAAAGCCTATACTAGTAGGATTTATGATAGTTGGAGAAAATAAATAATAAAAATTAAAATTTTCACGATTCAGAAAACTTCCATAAACTCAAAAGGTTATTTTAGGATCCAAAAGAGCGTCTGTTTTTAGACCTTCGTCATTAGTCGTCTTCCCAGAACTCATTCCATCAGCCTTCACGGAATGGTCTTCAGATGGGCAGCTTCCTGGTATGTGTAAGTCGAAGGAGTCTGGGTATTTCATAGCCTGTGTGGGATTTTACAGACATATCAAATTGGCTTTTTTATTTGCTACTGCAAAAATTTAAATTAGGAATGAAAGTAATTTGGTTCACTGAAAATAAAAAACTAAACTCAAAATAGGGGGAAAAAAAGGGCCAAATCACACAGAGGTCAGGCCTGCCAGGAAGGTTCCTTCTTAAAATCTTATAAATAGAAGGTAATTTCTAAAATGTCAAGGGTTTCTCGGCTCAATTAAAATTATTTGTAGCACAAATGGTTGAGACCAGGGAGTGCTTTAAAGCATGGAAATGCAGTAACAAGAATAAGAAGCAACTAGGTTATTGTTGTTCAGGAGAAATCTTATTTAACTGTTGAAGAATTTCAATCATGTCGGATGCCAGAAAGGGCCCGTTATAAAGGGAAATGGAGCTGTTTCCTCCTGCTTCCGCTTAGAAATAGGAAACAGCCAAAAGCCGTCTTGCAATGGAAACAACTTCATTTCCCATGTCCATCTGGAAGAAAGAGCCATAACTCAAAGAACACACATTTAGGACAGGTTGGAGAATGGCTGTGAAGCTTCGGTCCTGAGCTAAGAGCATATAACTTCTTTCTAAATATGTTTTGGACTGTCATCTACTAAAGGATGAATTTTGCAAATATTATGAACTTAGCCATTTGGGAAGCAAAAACAAATATCGGGTAGACCCGGCTTTTGTCATAGATAAATAGTTCTTTACATTCAAGCCCAGGAGGATTCAGAGCAACCTTGCAAAGTCCAATGAAGTGTCAACTCAAGCCGTAGGCATTATCATTTATTGTCAGCATAGACTGTCCCCACTTACGGCCATAATCGGAAAAATCACTGATGATTGATACTGACGGCAATGATGATTACTCTTGCAATAAGCTTAATTAAAATAATGAAGTGCTATTGCAGGCGATTTAGCTGCGGTACGGGTGGGATAACCTGCCACAAGGAAGCCACCGGCCAGCATGGCACTCATATTTCAACCCTGACACAACTGGGGAGCCCTGGAGGCACTGTGTCTGATTTACCTGGTCCCTTCCCTTCTCTCTTAGGCCCACAGGTCCTCATCCCTCTTGCACACCTAATAGCTGAAATAGTGCAATGACAAGAGGTCTGTTACTCACTTCAGCTGCAAATCCGGCCCAGCAGATGTTTGGGACTGTCTCCTCCCGGTCACCCTTCCCATGGAGCTGCTTACCAAACTCCGTGGGGATGACAAGTTAAGCTATGTGCTTCCCCACCACTGGCAACCTATCCAATCAAAGGTGAGGGAAATCCTGCCGAGAGAAATGCTTCTGACCTCCTGGAACACCAGCTCTGAAAGCTGACCCTCAGCTGGCCTATACCATCAGCGCATTTTTCTTCCCGGAGCTTCTTGCTGCTTTCTTTGCTGTATTCCTACAGCACCTGGGATGTGGAGGAGAGAGGAGGAGAAAGAATAAAAACCTTTGAGGGACTTTTGAACCACCCAGAAGGCCAGCCTCAAACCCAGCCCTGAGTCCAGTCCACATAATTGGTGGGGGCCTTAAAAACACAAACAGCTCTCATCCACAGCGGGAAGATCAAAGGGACATTTACCCACTCACTTAACTTAGAAAAAAATAAAACACCCAGCACAAATTGTGGGCTTTTAACTATCTTGTGGGACCAAAAACCTAATCAGAGTGCGGAGGACTATAAACATGTGGGAAGGGAAGCAGACAGTCATTAAAGTCTGATTGCGAGCCCAGCAGCGCTGATGGGGCCTGATGGCCCACCTCCTTGCAGAGGGATCCGGGTGAGAGCGTGGAGCCAGTGAGCAAAATCAGCCTTGAACATCTCTCCTTCACATGTAGAAGAGTTTGGAGCCATACGGGCCACTACAACTTGTTTCCTTTCAAGAGAAAATTTGGCCTCAGGAGTTCATGGAATTTTTTTCCTTCTGCTCACTGAAGAAACATTCATTGCATGCCTATTGGAGACAAACAGAAAAGGGCAGACTCTCACATCGCATACCACAGCAACAGTCTCTGGCTATGAGGAACTGGGATTTGTTTCATTTATTCATTCAACAAATATTCATTGAGCATCTACTATATGCCAGGCTCTGTTCTGGGTGCTGAGGACGTGGCCATAAGACAGACAGAGATCCTTGCCCTGATAGAACTTAGATTCCAGTAGAGAGAGATACACAATAAACAGATAAGCAAAATGTGAGTATGTCAGATGGGGAAACATAATGTAGAAAAGGAGGACAGGAAGTACGTGTGGGGGTGGGCTTCAATCTTAGAGAGGACAGCCAGAAAAGACCCCACTGAGAAGGAGACACTTGAGTAGACACCTGAGTGTGTGCTTCTTAGAAACACTAGGATTGGAATCAAGGAAAAATATCAGGACAAGTTATTAAAAGAAGATTTATGGAATGCCACCCTGTGCCAGGCACAATGCTGGCCACTTTACCTGTGTTAGCTCTGTAATTTAATAGTGCCTTCTGTTGGCACTCATCTAATTGCAACAAGTTTACAATCAAGGTCAAATGTACTAAGGCCAATGCCTCAGGGTGTCTGTCATCCCAACTCGGAAGTCCTCTTCGCGTCTACATGACTCAAAGGAGTCACTCTTGGATTAAGGTCTTGCCTGCGGCAGAGCAAAACACATATTTCCTGGACCCTCTACCACTAGTCTATTAATTTTTCTATAGATTGCATCACTGCTGGCACCATTAACATTTTCAACTGGGTAGGTCTTTGTTGTAGGGACTGTCCTGTGTGTTGCAGGATGTTGAGCAGCATCCCTGGCCACCACTCAGTAGATGTCAGTAGTACTCACCTTGCAACAATCAAAGACGTCTCCAGACTTTGGCCTGAGGGGCAAAATCACCCCAATTGAGAACCAGTGACCTAATGTGAACTGAATTAACTTTGAAAATACATGTATTTAAGAGAAACTTGAGAAACCTCAGCACTGATTCAGCAGCATTCATTCATCCACTCTTCGGCAAGCCCCTCCTATGGTCCAGGTGCAGGATGTTGAAACTCGATTGGCTCACACCTATGTCCTGCCACCTGCCCGTACATAGTGAGTCCCTCCCCTTTGGCCTTCCTGCCACAAGTCTGCCCCCTGCCACACCCTAGGCATCTTCCATACAGTTTCTTTAATGAGATCTGATGCTATCACTCCTCTCTTTAAAAGCCTTCGACACTCTTATAAAATAAAATCCTAATGTGATGATAATAAAATCATCACATCCCAGACCCTTCACAGTCTGGGCTCAACCTACCTGCTAGCCTCATCTCCATGGTCCACTGCCTCACCTAATGCTCTAGCCTCCCCGCCTTCCCATTTGGTCTGTGTGTCCCAACGAGGTCACGTCCTCTTGCCCTGACCACACTTTCCCCTCTGCCTCGGCTCCACTTCCTCACTTTTAAGTAACAAAGACTTACTTACCCTTTAAGGGCCAGCTTTAAGTGCATCTCTTCTGCTAAGTCTTTCCCAATGTTCTTCTTTCAAAACGAATGAGTCTGGAACTACATTCCCATAGCACCTTGATCATACTTCTAACGCCGCCTTGTATCTCAGCTCATCCATCTGTCCATCCATCCATTGAGCCATACACCCATCCAACAAACGTTTGTTGAGCACTACTATGTGCCAGGCACTCTTCTAGACCCTGGGGATTGAGATGTAAACAAATCTGGCAAAAATCTCTTCCTTTGCTGAACTTATTCACATTCTAGAGATGGAGCTAGAAAACAAAACAAATAACTAAATATGTGTCAGATGGTCATGGTGTCAGGCACTACACTAGGTTCTGGGAGAAATGAGCTGGGCCCAATCCCTGCTTTCAAGGAGCTTATGATCACGGGAGTGAGGAGGTGGGGGGAAGTAAGAGGTGGGAGAGTAGCAGTTGGGGGGTTGGGGCTAAAGGAGGAAAGAGCACTTAAATACTATGCCCAAGCATGAGGAGTCCCCAAGGTCACAGAGAGATCAGTGAGACACGCCTGAAACCTTGGGGAAGGCTGCAATATTGAAACTTCTGATGTAAGCTTCAGGAGAACCTTCTCAGAGGGTTAGGACATTTATAGAGTAGAATGCATCTCATGGAGGCCCAGCCTCAGATGGAAGAAAAAGAGTTTGTAGAAATCGTTAGGTGGAATCCCCATTCAAACTGCCTCAGGCCAGAATTTTTCCTTTTGTTTCAAGGTAACAAGAAGCCACATCCTGATTCGCATCCTCCTCCCAAAACCCTGCAACTTCCTGAATTCCCGTGCTCCTCAGGCGGGACTTCCTGTTGGAGATGGAGCTAAAGAAGCTGAAAAACTCCTCCATCCTTCCTAAGATAGATCTCATTTATGCATGAGGTCAGACAAATTTCCCTAATGCTGCCCTTGAGGGGATATCCAGGGATAACAAAGGCTGTCTTCCATGCCTCTCCCCGAATCCAGATGTAAACCAGAAAACATAAAATAAAAAGCCAAAAATCATTCCAAAAAGTCGACATTAAATTGACAAAAAGACCACGTGTGTTCTACTTGGCCTGTTTTACATGGTTTGTCTGAATTCTCTCCCACCTCCCCATCCTGCCAAGACATCAGGGACGTATTGACTTTCATTTCCTTGAAATAGTTAATTTTTGCAACCAAGGTTCCAAACAGGAGGTTTAAACTGGGGATCCACTCACTCTGTGTGTAGGTCATTTAAGAGCTCAATCTCATCTTTGAAATATAGATTAGCCAGGAGAGTATGAGTTCAGCATTTCTATGTAATGTTGTTTCATTGATCCTGCAGGCCAACTGGACATGGCTTCAGACGGATACCTAAAAATTAGTTTTAAAACTTTCCCATCTTTTCATATTTTATAACCTGTCAGAAAATCAATTATGGACTCTGCCCCCTTTCAACACTTGGTTCCATAGGAGCCGACGTTTAACCAAAGCAAGGTTCTTTTCTCTCCTTTACAAAAAGCAACAGACAAGTTCAGAGTGAATGATGACTTCAGGGAAATTCTTGGATTTGTAAAGATTTAGAGATGAATTGAATAGCTTTGTCCTGCCAAGTCCAGAGCTTGGGTTTCTCTCTCTCCTGTGCAATAACCAGAGACTGACTTCTCTAAACCCTGGGAAAAATCAAGGATCCAGATGTTCCTGCTGTGGGAATCCAGCCATAATTTGAACTTGTCAAATATCTTGATCTATTTCTTCAAGCCTGGTGAATCACAAAGGGCTTTCTCCAAAACCCACCCTACCTCTTGTGCACACACATATACATGGAGCACAGTCTCTCAGGTTTAAAAATATTTTTTCAGGGGCTGGCCCTGTAGCCTAGTGGTTAAGTTTGGCGCACTCCACTTCAGTGGCCCAGGTTCATGGGTTTGGATCCCAGGCGCGGACCCAGTGCTGCCTGTCAGGCCATGCTGTGTCAACATTCCACATAAAGTGAAGGAAGACTGGCAACAGACGTTAGCTCAGGGCTAATCTTCCTCAGCAAAAAATATGCATATTTTTTTCACTTTTTTGTAGTACAGGGAGATTTAAAGGCAAAGAAAAACATTAGGAGATACACCAAATCTTTTCTACTTTGTCTTGTCTGTGTTCTATACAATTTCTAATATAAAAATGTATTAATTTTATAAGACAAAAAAGTTGTATGTGTGTGTCTTTTTAAAATAAGAACTTAGGTAAAGTCACACTAAAATAACAACAACCCCTGTGGTGGAAAAAAGTGAAATTAATTTTGGCATCAGGTTAACAGTAAAATTCCAACTTCCGCAGCATGGAAGTTACTGAAGAACATATACATGCACAAATCACTGCTGAATGGCCATATTCATCCCAATGAACTAGAGTTCGTCCCATGAAAATAGGTGTATTAAGCATTCATGTTCAAGACACGTCGTGAGGAAGGAGGGAAAAGAGGAAGGACGAGAGAGTTCAGAAAAGATTAAAGTCCTGGGCTAGGAAGAAAGCGAATAAAAAGACGAGAAAATGAAGAGTCAGGAAAAGAAAGTGAATTGAGTCAGATGGCTGTGGAACCAATCAAGTGTTGTGTTCAGTGTAGGCAAATGCCAGTCGGCCTCACAGCCACATTTGTTGCAGTGAGTAGCAGCAGCGGAACAGTACCCCTCAGCTTTGGGAGTATCTATGGCGCAACTACATGTTACTCTTTACGTGGAAGTAAAACACTCGCTGTCTGTGATGTGCTGACATTTAATAACCAGAAGAGGCCCGGAAGAAAGACACCCACAAGCGGCTGCCTTTGGAATGTTGGCCACAGCTCACAGAATAGGGATGCCAATTACCTGCCTCTCTTTCCACTTTCTAACGAATTGTAGCCTGAAAACCAACAGCCAGCAGTCTACTCTCGGCCATCCCACTGGCTAACAGCCTGGGAAGTCTTGGGAAGAAGGTGATGCATTTAGCCCGGGGCTCAGGGAAAGTAAAGTGATTGCTGGTAGAAGGCAATGGGACACACACACACACACGCGCGCGCGCACACACACAGCACGAGCATGCACACGCTGAATCACAGTGAACTTGACTTTACCTAGCAGACTAGCAAAGACTGTGTTCAATTTCTGCTTTGTGCCTACCTGTCTGGTTGGTTCTGAGAACTCAAGCTATTTATTTATTTATTTAATTGACATATAGTTGACACACAATATTATGTTAGTTTCAGGTGTTCAACATAGTGATTCAACATTTATATACTCTTCGAAATGATTACCACGATAAGTCTAGTAACCATCTATTGCCATGCAAAGCTATAACAACATTATTGACTATATTCCCTATATTGTATGTTATATCTCTGTGACATTTCTTCTTATCGCCTTTGCCAAATTTGCCAAGTCCCTGAAATGTGTCACTGGGCAAATTAATGCAGTTTGGTTTTTTCCCACTAAATGGAAGGAACCATATTATTTTCTTACACCCATTTGGCAGTGATGTTTTACCTTGGATGGGGGAAATGTCTAAACATCCTTCTACTTATTAGTTACAGAGATGCCTAATGTAGGCCTCACTCTCAAATCCAGCTCTCACTAGCAGTGGGACCCTGAGAGAGCTAATTTTACCTCTCTACCTGAGTTTCCTGACCGCTAAAATGCAGAAGATAATAGTATATATACCTCATGGAGCAGTTACAAGATTACCCAGGTTAACGAATGTGCAGTGTTTAGGAAAGTGCCTGGCATGAGTTTAGGGCTCTGTGCTCACTGTTATTATTTCAATCATCAACGCATATTTTTAGTCCCTGTTATGTGCCAGGCATCATGCTGAACACCAGGAATAGAAAAGTGAGGATGTCTTTGGAGCTTATATTCCAGTGGAGTAATAATAAAATCCTAGTAAAAATATCAATAACAATGGCAGCTAATGTTTATTGGGAATATAATATGGATAATCTAATTTGATCTTCATAATAGGTAAGAATATTATCTATAGGAGAGGAATCCACGGGCTTAAAAAGGTTAAATACGTTGATCACTCAACACAGCTGGTGAGTGGCAGAGCCAGGCTGGAACCAGCTGACTCGGCTCCTGAGCACTAAGTCTTAACTGTGTTTTTCTTTCATTTCAGTGGAATGTGAGCTACTTTCAAATAACAATCATGGTTCTGGGGAACAACCCATCCGCCTTGTCCCTCCACATTAAAGAACCATTGCCCAGCTTCCTACTTCTTTTACGCCCGGCACTGAGTTTTTGGTAGCCACTCATTTAACACGATCAAACTCAACTTGCCAGGGTACAATATTTTCCCCACTGGTCAGAGGAACAACTCAGCCTTTGAAAGAACATTTAACACTGTTCAGCTTGGCCTTCATGCTGGGAGACAGGCGCGCATCTCGAGGCCTACCCTGAGCCAATCACTGGAGAATGGTTTAATTGGTTAATCATATAAATTACAATCACTTAATCATTTTAATCACCATCAGCCAATTAGCTCAGAGTTATGGGCTCTGAGGTAACAGTTATGCAAATGTTTGTTCCACTGTAGGCTATTAACAGCCATATTTTCTCGATCAAGCTGACAGAGACGGATGGGTGGGGGAAGAAAAGGAAAGTGAGCATTTGTTTAGATTAAACTTCTTTCCTGTTGGGTTATAATGAAGCGTTCAGTGGGGAGAAGCACCGAGCACAGTGATTTCTTCATCTCACTCAATGTGACTGTGTCAAGTGGCTTAGAGGGAGGCCCCCTGAGGAAAGCGCAGGTGGTAGGGAGGAGAGGAAGGACCCGCCAAGAAACTGTTGAATCGAGACTCAGAGTTTAGCAACCTACTGCTGAAAGTGGTGACTTCGCTGATCACCCAGTGTACTGTCATGTTACAGGTAAGGAAATTGAGGACCAAAAGGGGGACATGACTTTTGCTGCCGCTTTTCCTCCATCAGGCAACAGGCGATGTCCACTAATAATGATGTGGGAGGATTAGATCAAGTTCGAGGGGAGCATCCACCTGTACTTATTCATTATCCTCTATAACAGTAACTACAATAACAATGAAGAGTATATAACAGCCCTGGAAAGGTAAGTCATTATCGGTGGACCAGAAACTTTGAAGAATGCCTGAAACACTAGTGATGTGGGAATAAATGTGCTCTATATGTCTAGTACCTGGTTTAGTGCCTGGCACGTGATAGTTGTTCAATAAACACTCGTGAATGAACAAATTATTAGTGGCCAAATGTGAACTTAAGAGCCTGGGAAGTGAAGGAGTTGTCGTCTATTGAACGTGACGGCTCTGCAGACATGTATGTGCTAGCGTGCCTAACACAATGGCCCCTGCAGTACGGCCTTCTGCCTGCTTCCCCATGGCACCTAGTGTTAATGGAGCTTTCTGTTGGGTGGTCAACAGAGTGGACTGGCTCATTCAAGAGCCTTCAATTGTAGTGTTTTCAAGCACTATGACAGTGAGAACAATCAGAATTTCAAAGGTGGAAAAATTTTGTCAGGAATGTGCAGGAAGTTACAGGGTTTTGTGGTCCCCAAAAGACACTTTGTGACTATGGCAGTCTATTCTTTCTTCAAGGAACTCCTTAACTGTCCCTGAGACTTTGCCGGCTTTTGCTGGTTAGTTAAGTGTAGAGCTGTGGTTGGACCCTCCCCGCCATTTCCCAAACACACATACGTGCACACACCATGTTCGTTACAAAATTTTATTCCTTTATTTGACAATACATATTGAACTTCTATTATGTGCCAGAAATCATACAAGGGCCTAGGCAAAGACCACTGAACAGCAGAACCCTTGTGATATGATGACAAAGTGTTGTCAGATGCAGGGAGGAGAGGTCGGTTCCTGAAGGCAGCTGGAGAGCTGGAGAACTTCCTGAACGAGGTGGGTTTGATCTGGGGAGAAACTGAGTAGACAGAGATGAAGGTAGGGACCTTCAAGGAGAAAATTCATTTGGCATCACAATTCATGGCGCATAAATGTCTAAGTAATATCCACTTAGTGTAGCGATAGTTTTCTTAAAAGGCTTTCTACTTCCCAATTAAAAGTTTTTAATTGCCTGAAGGAAGTAACAGGCCTTGT